CCCCCCCCCCCCCCGCTGCCGGATATGAATCACGCTTGAGGTTCAGGCAAGCAGATACGGTAGTTCTGCGCGGCTGTTCGCACTGGGGCTTAACCGTTTTATTACGGCTTGATTGCGGTACGACCAATAGGGTGCGAACGCCATCCAGGAAATCTCCCGACCAGATAAGACTTTCCAAAACCACCACCCCTATTCGTCCGTTTTGATGCCCTCCTGTTTGATGTCGCAAATATGTCGCTCTACAGAAACGCTTGTAGCACCCCTGTGCGAACACTCGCATCATCAATGTACTGATGTAGGAGCACATTTGTTGCTTTTGTGTCCGTGGACGGGGCTGGGACGAAGCCTTCCTGGCTTGTTCTCTGACGACGATGATGGGTCCTCAGCGGTGTCGATGTAACAGCGAATGCGCGTACAGAGCAAGCCATCTGTCTTTTGCAGAATGCTGCAGTAAGGGTGAGTTGACTACCGCAAAACGGGGTGCATTGGATGTTACCACTGCTGTGGTTGCTGTCTTGCAGCTAGCTGCGGGCAGGTGCTCCAAGAGCGCGTTGCTCGATGAAGCGTTTCGGGTGGCTTGGAAGATTGGAAGAGCGAAGACAACAATCTGATTCCTACACGTTGGTGATTTGGAGTTTTTGGTGCGGGGCCAAACGATGCTGTTGTATTGCTGGTGTTACTCGCGGGCCATTTTCGGCCCCGTGTTTTTCTTTTTTGTGTCTGTGTTGTATTTTGTTTTATTTTTGGGGTGCGGGAAAAGGGCGGGGGATATGCACCGGGGATATAAGTTAATTTACATCCATGTCCCGGCGTCGAATAGTACAATGAGAGGGCATGGCGGGTGACTTGGAACCGTTCCAGCGATTGATCTGAACCGAATTTTTGCTATTTTGAAGGCGACACGCCAGAGGCGCGCAGCGCCACATGTTGTTCTCTTCGAAGCTCGGAAGCGGCGCTCCAGATGTCGTGCGTTACGTAATAGTGGTTTCCAGGGCTCTGGTGGCCTGCTAATAATATCTTCGGCTGTAAAAGTCTTGTCATTTGGTTAAGATTGCTGCGGCGGTAGGCACGGATGATGATTTCAATGGTGGATTTTCCCGGACGGTTTCTCGGTAGATAAAGAGATTAACTCCTTTGTGTTTTGAAAAGGGTAATTCAGCACGATGACCCCGTAGTAGCGGTGATTGTTTTTGTTTTGCCGTCCCCCGTGCCATAGTGTCTGCTGCTGTTGTCACGTGAACAATCTGAGGCCGTTTGGTCCGTCCTTGTCGATGACAATATGTCGGATTCGTTCTTTTCGTTCTGTTTACAACCCGGATGGGGTGGTGTGACGGGCGGTGCCTTTGGCCTGTTCGTGGCAGGGAGGGGTCGCCGCATACAAAGGGAGAATGCCTCCCGTTTGGGCACATCGACACGAACTACCACAAGAGCGTTGCCAAGTAGTTCATGGGCCAGGGAAGAAGCGGGTGGATCTACAGTCTAAAATGGCGGCATCGTCGAACATTGGAGACACTTCCTCGCTCTACAGCAGGGCGTCGGCCCAAAGGTTGGTTGCCAAAGTATCTTTGCACGCATGCTGCGGACACTCGATGATACTCCATGAAGACAAATAGTAGACGCCATCAAAGCTGCGTCCTTGTCTGCTGGTATGATTACTTCGAATGGTCTTCTATTTTCGAAACATCCGGACTTGGATAACAGAACGAAACCCGCGATGCTCTCCCCTTAACTACTTGGTTCGGGCGACTCCCGTAAAACCCGTTCCACTCAGAATCAGCACTCGTTGACCAATGGGACAACGGCGGGAGTTTAGTGTCTTGTCTCTGGCCAATCAGTCTTGCTCAGCGGCGCCGACTTGTTCCACCAAAAGGAAAGCTGCAGGCAGGCATGTGTGTCTTGTTCCGTTGCAGAAACACCACAAGTGCCTCACTCGGTCTCTATCCTCTATCAATCCGTACATCACGAAACAAAAAACTTTCGTGTGCTCATCATGGTGTGCCTCGATGGCGCATGGTGAGCTGCAAAATTACGTTTCCTCGCAAGCAGGCGAGTCACCTTGTTTTTGTTGTTGTGTGGGCGCCCTCCCCACTACAACAAATTAGACATATTTCCTTTTGCCTGTCTTCTCAGTAAGCAAGAAGTATATAACGCCGGCCTAGGCAATGATAACAGCAACGACCGCGCTAAGCTTTACACGCGAGGAACGCCGAAAAGTTCATATCAGCGAACACACGTATGCATACGTGGGTGGTGCTGCCTGCGCCCACTGTGTAGCGACAACATCATCATCATCATCGAGAAGCGAATGAATGCTGCGTCATTCCGGTGGTGATCGAAATTCGAGAAAATACGTCTCACACACCGGGTGGTCCATCACCACCTTGCCCCCCCGAAGCACTCGACACAACAACACACGCACAAACCCATTACACCGCACGCTCCGTACCACACACAGGCTAATTCCACGGGAGACCAGTTTCGAACGGGCCGTCCCCGTCCTCGTGTCATGATCTCCACCAACGAACATGTAGCTACACCAACCAGGGAAAAATCGTCTTTGCTTAACTCATACCTGATATCTACGGCGGTCTACTCTCTCTCTCTCTCTCTTTCTCCTCCTTTCGCTTAGGGAGAGTCGGGGGTCACACAGACGACAACCTCACCAGGACCCCCCCGCACCTTCATTCCGCGGTGCGCGCCTTGGACCTAACGCTCTCCTACACCCCAACCGCGACCAACATGGCCTGCCCCACACACCACCGGTACCCGCTCGCCTGCGGCAGCAGAACCAGCGGTGGCCACATCCCAACAACGTATGTTATAAGTACAAACAGATGCCGCCAAAACAATGCATATACTGGCAGAACCAGGGATAGCGTCACCAAAAACCAAACACCCAACGGCGTCAGCGACAGAACACTTGGGACAACCGACATCATCCCCGCGGCTATTACTCCTCGGACGGCAATGCTGACGCAACCACGAGCGCCGTCGGAGACAGCTCAAGGCCCGCCGGTAGCCCGCACAGCACACCCGAAGAAGACAAGGCTGGCGGCACAAAGAGCGGGGTGTCCACCGCCGAGGCCTCCTCCGCCGCCCGCACCGTGCTCGCGCACGACGAATCCACCGAACCCGCCGGGGTATTAGCCCCCGCCCCGGCCCCACCAGCATTCGACACCGGCACGGCGAAGGACGTCGACTTTGATGCCTTCGCGGCCTTGCCGACCCCCGCTCGCAGCCCGCCCAGCGTAGGGCTCTTTAGGAAACCCGGGGTTTTTAACATTGCCCGTGACCGCGCGCGCTTCCCGCCGCCCTTGGAGCCTCTCACTCCAACCCCGTCGGCGGCGCCGACCGCCGAGCTGCTGACGTCCGGATTTCCTCCGCCGGAGGCGTCGTGGCTGTGTCGGTGCCGTCGTCGGGGCATAACCCACCGCTGCTGCGGGGTCTCCAGGTGCGCCGACTCCAACCCCATGGCGTCGTTGCCCGCGGAAGACAATCTGCGCAAATCGATCGATTGGGGCCGCCCCGACTTTCCGCCGGCTTTGCTCCCGCCGCCGCCGCCACCGCCGCCCCCGCCTACACCTACCCCTAAACCTAGCGCGCTAAGCGGCAAGCCCAAGCTCCCGCCGAGCGAAGCCGGGGGCGGCCGGGTAGGTTTCCCCCCCCCCCCAGAGGCGTTATTGTTGTTGTTCATGGCCATCCGAACAGCGCTCCCCCTGCCGTGTATCAAGCCCTGGTAGTCGTACATGCTGTTCTCACTCTTGACGCTGTTCTGCGAAACGGTGCTCAGCCTCGGGTGAATCAGGCTCGACAGTGTCCCCGCTCTTGACCGCGGCTGAGGCTGCCCTGCGCACCCGTGCGCTAGGTCAAAGTCGATGGCCGGGTCCGGGTGGTCCTTCATGGCAGACGACTGCGACCGCGAGAAAGAAGCCGTAGATGTCGACGATGGTCGAGCCAAACCCGGCTGCAATGTTATCGTAGAATGTACGGTCGGCGTCGGGGGAGGGGGGGGAGGGGCTCAGGCGGATAGGGGTCCGATCGCGGCGCCGGCTCGCGAAACACAGGTAGTGTTCCGCGAACGTAATGAATTCATAACCAATTTGTCCATCCTAGACCCTTACCCCCCCCCATTCTAGACTCAAGTGGGTTGGCGCTGTTGGCAAAGCGCTGTAAAACGCGCCACCCCAAATATAGCCCCCATAGTATGCGCTACCAAAGACGCGTGACGCATGGATGCGTGGAGTGAGGATAGCTGTTTACGGGAACCTCACAGGTTGAGTGATGTACTTCCTCTGTCACATAAGTAAAGTCCGTTATGATTACACGGCCATTTAGCCGTGTCCGATGTCTTATTATAATAGGCGATACTTTTATTGAAATCTTGAGCGTTTTCGGGTTGAAACCCATATTTCTTTTTTTTTCTTGCGCACTACCTTGCATGCACTAGCGGCTTACAAAAAAGTGATCAGGCCAAAAAAGGCCATATTGTGCCCCTTTCCATGAGGGTGGGGGTGGGGGCACGAAACGAAACATACCAAAAAAAGACAAGAATTATCCCGAACCCTAAACCCAAGGTTACCTCTACTGAACGATNTATTTTGCCCCTTTCCATGAGGGTGGGGGTGGGGGCACGAAACGAAACATACCAAAAAAAGACAAGAATTATCCCGAACCCTAAACCCAAGGTTACCTCTACTGAACGATCCATTTCGCGTCCTCCCATACAAAAACCAACATGGTAGTGAACCCACACTAAAATCAAGACATTTTCGAGGCCCACGCTAAAACCAAGACACTTGGGGGCGCCACACAAAAATCAAGTTACTTGCGGGGCAAAGCCGACAGGCGTGAGTCCTAACCCTACCCCCCCCTTGTACTCAACGACCCATGTCGCGTCCGCCCAATGTTTTCTGGGGTAATCACTACCAACGCCGTACCGCTCGGCGAGGGGGCCTAGAAAGCCCTTGGGTACCCTTTCTTTGCCCGGCGGAATCGCCAACGCTATCTCCACCGCCATGGCGTACCGACGACCCAACGATACTTCCGCACCCCGCTTACGACGTGGGGGTGTCTGGGCGTCGTCCCCCATGATAGCTACGTCGTTGTGGTGATAGTGGGTGCTCACACAGCACAAAGCTGCAAATATTCTTTAAAATATTCTCAAAATGTTTTCAAAATATTCCCAAAATATTCGCAAAATAGTCCCGTATTTGACACACTAATTCTCAGTAATTGTGA